CTGAATCTGTCAGACTCATGAAAAGTTCATAAAACAGTCAGTATTGCCCATTTAAAATCAGTCTCAAATGTATCAGATCTCTTTAAACAAACAATCCATCCCCTCTCATCAATACAAATTGACAGTCATGAGAAATATAAACTAGAACAAATTGTTGCAGAATGTCTGAAAGGCAAAGATATCAAAGCAAAAAAAGAATATCTAGTTCACTGAAAGAGATATGAACCCCAAGAAGACTTCTGATTAAAAGAATCAGAACTAGTCAATGCAAAAGAACTGTTGCATCAATACAAAGATGCAAACAAGCTTATATAATGTTATGTTCAACAACAACAACAACACAAATAATCTATGAATACTAAGTGAATATATAATATTTCACTTTTCTCAAACATTCTTCATTCTACAATCTCATCTAACATAACATCTTTTCTGACATTCTCTAACAGACTTTCTCTAGTGTTCAAGAAACCAATCTTTCAATTTGTATTCAAGCAACTGTTCAGTCTTTTCAATTCAAGCAACAGTTCATTCACTTTGTATCCAAACAACTGCTCATTCTCTTCTACTCAAGCAACTGCACATTCTCTAATTTTCAATCATCTGCCCAGCATGAACACCTCTTCAAATACTAATGCATCCCCAAAAATCTCTATTAGGGCACCAAAGCCCACAATTCTATCTGCATCAAAGACTCTCTTTCAAGCCAAGGAATGATGTAAACTTCAAGATCAATGTGAAGTTTCAGAAGAGAACACAGACTTTCAAGCAGACTATACTCTATGATTTGTATCTGAAAATGCTCAAGTCAGAATTCTATCTGCTAATGAATGAAATTTTCAGAGCCCTTCATCTTACAATTTCCCATCAGCTGCTCCAGAACCATGTCATCTCACTCAGATTAAGATAGAAATGATCACAGACACATGAAAGAATAAGATTATGACAAACAAGCATACAGAAAACAAAATCATCACATGAAATCACAATGAATGAATTTATATTTGTCTATTCACCAGAGCACCTTTTTTTGAATAGTGCAATTCAGTGAGATGCAATATTGATGATGAACATGTCTGATATGATGAATCTTTTACAATCTTGCAACAATGAACAGCAGCTGCTTTAGCTCTACAAACTTGAGCTGAATTAATCAGAGCTGAAATCAACAGAAAACATGAAGAAGAAATGATTCAGTGAAGAGAGAATCAGATCATATGAAAGCAGAAATTTCTTCAAAGAGAATGATTCAAAAATCACAACATCATCATTTAAGCTTCAGAAACAACAGACATGATAATCAATGAAGCAATTAATCATCTAGAGAACCTCTCTGAAGAAAACTCCCAAAAGAAATTGCCAATTGAGTACATTGGTCATTCAGAAAGACAAGAAATTCAGACAAAAAAATACAACATGAAAGCTTTAAATGATATTTTTAACTTCTCTAAATCTGAAGATAATATTCTTGCATTGATTGATGACAACTTACCAACAAGCCCATGAACTGTCCAAATCAATGACAATTCCACAACATTCACATCAAAACAAAAGCTCAATAAATGAAAAGCTCCAAACAATAAAGCTACTCCACACAAGAAAAAGACATCAGTTAAACAGAAAGCAATCTGAAAGAGTAAACAACTACTCAAGTCTGCTGAAAAGATCAACTGACTAAATAACATCTCTGAATTCAATACTAATGAATTCTCCACTGATGACAATGTTGTTTCCCCTACATTCTCTGACTACCATGCTAACAGTTCACTTAATTGAGGAACATCTAGAAGCCATCTCTCATCTGAATCAAATGACACAGCAATGTTGGCTTCAAATACAGAAACAAGATTAGTCATAGAGATACCAAAATGCAATGAATCAATGTCTCAATCATTATCAAAGAAAATCAGTGATAATGAGCTTTCTGATTTTACTGATCTCTCTGTCTGGGAAGAAGAACTAGTATCTAACACCCCCAAGATGAGCAAGTGCTTTATTTACAAAACAGACAGTTCTCTGTCTTTTATCTTTTCATGGACTTTTCAACAATAAACACTGATGACATACTTACAACAGATGAGTTAGATGCAATAATCAAACAATCAGCAATATCTAGTGAATGAACAGCAACACTCACAAAGTACAGAAATGCTTAATACATCATGACAATTGATCAATATCTTGAATTCTTTCAATTCTTCCCCAAACAACAAAAGCTAAACACATCAAAATCAGAGAAATGACATCTAGTCCCAAAAGCCCTCATTACTTCAGTGGTTAATTCTTATTTTAAAGAAATATTGGATAAACTTCAGAAAGACCACCATGAACTCTTATTGAGATCAATAAAATATGAACTCATTCACTTTCTATGTCAATTCTCTGGAGAATTCATTCAAATGCAACCATCTACAACAATAACTACAGAAATCTGGTTGACTCTAGATGAAGATGATGTTATAACAACAGAAGAAATTCAAGCATGACTTAATCTATCAACAGATAAAAAAAAGAGAAGCTTACAGAGAACATTGATTCATTCTAAATGACTTTATAAGATGCAAAGTACTATATCTCTCTAATCATTAATGAAAAGTCCATTCAGCTCATTTGCACACACTAGAAGCAACAGCTGAAGATTATTCACATCTAACTTAAATCAATGACACTGATGTGCTAGAGCAGAATTCAAAGAACACTCTACAACTGTAAGAGAACTTTGCATTAGATGAAGAATGATATTCCCAACATCAAATTAAAATATATGCACTAATGCAACTGATTATGTCTACTCTGACTCAAAAAAAGTTTCTTTACTCAATGACACATACTAAATTGATTAACAAAATGGTCATTGAGAAGATGTTCTTCTTCTTCAACTTCTTCTACTATGATTATTAGTTCTAATCTAATATACTGATATGTGCAGTACACATACTTTCAGTGAGGGCACTGATTTTAAAAGATATTTCTCAGCAACTGACATGGAATCATTACTGTACATAATACCAGAATAGTTAGCTACTTAGTCAGCCCTTCAAGCTTACTCATGAAGCTGGAAGGAAATAGGAGAATCATCTTCTACTACACAACCAAAATTGCACAGACATTCTGTAGCTCAGTTAGACCAGGTAACAGAGATAAGTAGAAGTTAAGAATCAATCTTAACATGTGAAAATATACTTAAAGTATTATTTTAGACCATAACTTATAATTATATAATATAGTTTCTAGAAATCAGAAATCTCTTTTTCATTTCAGCTAGTCTCAATCTCATTCTGATTTCAGCATCATAGTAGCTAGTTTTAATTTATAGATTTAATGAGATTTTTTAGTAAGTTCTGTTTCAAATTCTCTAGTATCAATTCCAACTCAATTTTTTATTCTTGGTCCCATATCAGACTCTGTTTCTGAAGGTTGAGCCTTGTTCCCATCCCTTTAAAAAAAAAGTTGGAACAGCATCGCAGTTGGGAAATTCCAGTCCCAGTGGTAAGTCTATTAGTGACAACATATCTAGAAATTCTGAATACTGTTGTAGCAATATAAGTTACTTCTCTCTCTCATGACTTAGACTTCTTCATAACTATCTTACATTCAATCTAACCTAACTTACAAAGACTGGTGAACCATTGCCATGTTACCTGCAACCTTGATTCTCACAGTTTTAATGATAAAGTTTCAGTCCCATCCCAATTCCCTTTTAATTTATTATGGACAGGATCCCAGTTGGAAAACCTCTGTCCCTGCAGTCAGTCTAGTTTTGATATAATTAAAAGTCTACTGTGAGCACAGATCTTCAATCACTAATTTAATAGCAGCTTCATTGATCATTTTATTGAATTTTGAAAGTAGAGGTCTATGGTAAAAGAATTGGTTGCTTTGTGGGTTTGGTCGTTCGGTGATGATTTACGTTATAGAATTGTGGATTCGTGGTAGGAGCACTCAACAGCTAATAGCAAAAGCTGAGTAGCGAACAAAGTGAGCGAGCTCTGCTCGTAGCATAATAAGTAGTATAGTATGGCGGACACAATACCATTCTGCTTAGCGAAATTAAGTAACTAGTTTAATAAAGATCACATCCTCTGAGACAAGGATTTCTAGATTTATTTTGTTTGTTTTTGTTTTTTTCTTCTCGGCAGGCGACCTGCACAATGTGGGTAGGGCCTTGTCATATCAATTGCATGCCAAAGAGTTCCTGTATTGAGGAGCCGCTAGACAAACAAGATATGTGATGCTTCTTTTATGGGCGGCCCTGGTGGTAATATTTAGAGTAAAAGGCGACAGCCTAGAAAATTTGGTAGAAAATGTGGGCGGTAGAGGTGTATGATCAGGTCGAAGGTATGAAGTTCATTGCAATCATGAGCAGATTCAACAAGCCGCCACATGAGATGAAACGGGAAGTGTGAGCGAGGCGAAAAAGGTGAAAAATATTGGTCGATGACTGTCTTCGAACACACAAATGCAAACAAAGCAGTAGCCTGGCCACACGGTTGACAAGTACGGCACTAGAAGCTGTCATACTGGTATCCCTAATTCGTTAGAATGTAAAGACGGGCTGCAAAATGTCCAAAACGCCCATATTTACCCTTGTGCGCCCAGAATGCTCAAGGCTGTTGTAAGAAAAAAGGTTTCTCAGACAATAGAAGAGACATAGAACATCTTCACGCCCGCCAGGATCCCTGCCCTATCGATGTAACTTGAGAACACACCAGGACACCAGGATCTTAAGTTGGGTCTTTCAACAATGGTAGTATGATACACATTCGGAAGGACATAGATCGTGAGTAAAGGATTTAAGTATGGAGGGGAAAGGCACAAGCAGTACCAGAAAAGTAGTAGAGTGACCCAAGGAAATCATGCAGGGGACGTAAAGAAAATCACAGTGCAAGAAGGTTCAAACATTCCATAAGACAGGGAACATACAAAGAACACAATTAAATTCAAGGACATTCTGTGCTGAATGGATGTATTTGTGAATTCCAATCCAATGTCTCAACAATTTAGGTAGTAGGAGCGGCAGAAGCAGAGGGTGTAGAGCGGCCACGATTACCGTCCGCATGGCCACCACGATGACCCTGACTACGACCACGGTAATTTCCACGAGAATGACCTCGATTTGAACTCTGTTGCCCTTGGCTAGCACCGTGGTTTCCTTGTCGACGATGTTGAATATCCGGAGTGCTAGTTTGTACAATGGAGGCATTGCGAGCCGCCGGGGCATTTGAGATGGGCCGGGGAATTGTTTCAGGGGTATCATAAACATATAGTTTTTTATCGATCGACGGCGGTATCGGCTGAATCTCGGTACCTAATTCTTGCTCAATTTTGTATAGATTGTACCTGTCCTCCCAGTTGATCAGGTTAATCGCCAATCCAAGATGGCCAAATCGACCAGAACGGCCAATTCGGTGAAGATACGTTTCTGCATTTTTCGGGAAATCGAAGTTAATGACAACGTTGACAGCCTGTATGTCAATACCTCGGGTCAATAAGTCTGAACAGACAAGGTTGCGGCATACACCATTGCGGAAATCATGGAATACTCGATTTCGATTTTGTTGGAGCATACGCGCATGCGAATAAAAACACGAGTAGCCAAGCTCCGTGATCTTTTTAGCAAGTAATTCTACCCGATTCGTAGAGTTGCAGAATATTATAGATTGGTTAATCTGGAGCTTGGAAAAGAGGGTATTCAGGCAATGGACTTTCTGCCGTTCTTCTACGAAAGCATAATACTGAGTGATGCCTCGTAAAGTAAGCTCATCCATAAGATTAATTTCATATGGGTTTCGCATATGTTTGTCCTGGAAAACATTTCAGGTGTCAGTGCAGTAGGCTTAAAGCCCCGATTGTGCTTCGCTTACCTTGAAGGTCTTCACAATCATTGGAAATGTGGCACTGAATAACATAACCTGACGATCCTTGGGATGAAATGATAATAGCTGTTCAATTACAGGGGTAAACTCCGGTGACAGAAGCTTATCAGCTTCATCCATCACAAAAGTGGTACATTCAGAAAGGTCTGCAACGCCTTTACTCGCCAAGTCGAGAATTCTGCCTGGCGTACCAACAATAATATGAACGGTATCATTTAGTCGAATGATATCATCCTGAAGTCCAGTTCCTCCGGTAGTGACCATTACGTTCATGCCAAGATGTTTGCCCAGTGTTTTGCAGACTTGAGACGTTTGAAGCGCTAATTCTCTTGTGGGTACGAGAATGAGCGCCTGAGTCTTCGATATTTTTGGGTTGGTGCGTTCTAGGGTAGGTATGGCGAAGGCTGCGGTTTTTCCGGTCCCATTTTTTGCCCGAGCAAGTATGTCACGGCCGGTAAGAGCAACAGGTATGGTCTCTTCTTGAATTGGGGAAGGCTTCTCAAATCCCGCTTCGAAAATGCCCATCATCAGCTCTCTTTTGATGTAGAAATCTTCAAACTCCAATCCCTTAGTGGCCGTGACATCCTGGAAGCTATCAGTAGGTTGCTAACAGCACAGGAAGCTTAATATTACCCACCTCTGTTTGTTTTCTATTGTCTTTGGGGGGGAGCTTGAGCTGTTCCTTCCATGTATTATCTACACCGTTTTCGCTAGACCAACACGGTCAATACTAGCAAATATTATCCAGCTTGGTGAAACCAACCCTAATTGTACGGTATTCAATTGTGAAGCGAGTGCGTCAGACATTGCGAATGAGTAATAGGCAAAAGATAGAAGTCGCTGTAAGAAGGCGATCAGCTCAATTCAGGTAACACCGTCCAAATAGTACCCAGTCTAAATACTGAAATAATTCCAAGTGAGGTCAACTTAAGAGGTAGTAAAACTTACGACTGGCAAGATTTACTGTAGTTCTAGAAAGGTTATTGAGGTACGATTCACACGTCCGTACTATAGAATGGTCTCGCGATTAGAAGAGTGATGATGTGTGCTTGAAGGCAAATGTGCTGATGGTTGTGACCGGGACAAGTCAAAACTAAAAACAAACAAATAAAGTCCCACTATAAAGTTGTAAGCATCACTGTGATCAGGATATTGTCATTTGAGTGTGTCATTGAAGCAGAAATTCATTGAGGTATGTCAATTTGGGGCGCACTTTGTTGAATGCACAACTTGGGAAGGCCCATTGAGTGCAGGCAGATACAGTCTAGCTGCTTTGGGCTAGTTAATTAGTTTGAGAGTTAACTAAACTACCTAACTTAGTTTTGAATTACCTGCCTAGGTAGAACTTGATGACTGAAGTTAACTGATTTTCCTGCTTTGCATCTTCATTTTCGTAGACTTCAAACTTAAAATTTAAGTTATGTATGTTGTGACATATTTATTTTCATTTATAAATGTTACATCATGCAGTATAATACAGTATATTATGCAATATATGATATAATTTTGTAAAAAATGATTATATATTTGTTATTGAAAAATTAAATGATTGTATGAGACATTTTTTAAATTCTGATTTCAGTATCCAATACTTTCTAGAATCTTAAGTATTTATAATGTATATAAATAACAAAATTTATCATTAAATGCTCAATCTCACCCAATGACCACTTTTTACAAAATTACCACTACATCTTCAAGATACAATTTTTCAACAACCATGTAGTAAAATTAATTAAGCTATTAGTTACAATAAGTAGAAAAGAAATAAAACATAGAAATTAGTATGATTAATTCAAAAATCAACAGAGTGGTCTAATAGCTCAATCTTTGCATATGACTGACATTTCTGACTTCTCAGACTTCAAAGCAATTGAAAAATCTTGCTTTAATGTTTGAGAGCTCAATTGTAAGCTTATTAGAGTCATAGTCACAGATAATATATTTTCCAGCATAAAAGCTGCTGTGTACATGAATTTGAACAAGATGTAGAAATTCAATTTTATCATTTTAACAAAGTTCATGTCTTGCTGAAGAAAGTTGTTTAGTTTCTTTGAATAATAGTGCTGTATTCATCCAAAAAATCCAATATTTAGAGACTGTAAACAGTGAGTAGCAGTAGAGCTGAATAAAAGAACAAGCAGTAGAATCTTATTTTTGTCAGTAAAATCAATAAACTGCATATTAATATGAGAGACATGTTCACTCAGTATAAGCAGACATCTACTTCACTTACTGTCTGCAGAGTTAACTTTGAGTGTTTGACTCTAGTCTTTTTATTAAATAATTTTAGTCAGCAGATCTCATATTCATCATTGATTCATTTATTTTCAGATGCAGTAAAGTAAGTTTAATTCTTTTTACAGTTAAAATCAATAAGTTAAGTATCTTGCATGTTTCTAAAATTTTTCTTGTAAATGAGAGCTGGTGTAGTGAAGAATCTGTCAGCATAAATGCATATAAGTAGAGAGATGAACTTTCAGTCATCATTCTGTACAGTATTTAATATTTCATCACACTTAGAAGCTTATAAAGAGACTACTCTTTTAAATGTATTTGCTAGTTCTATAATAAAGTTTTTTTCATTGAAATTGTAAATATTTGCAGATTCAAGATTATATCTCTTGATTTTTTCTTGAAGCTATAAAAATTTGTATAGTTAGTCTTAATTCAGTGAAAATCAATATCAAATCAATAAAATCAAGAGATATTACTAGATCAAAAAATGAAAAATAGTACATAGAATTGTCAGCAGCTTTTCTCTTTTGATGAAAATTCTATAGAAAAACACTGACAAGCTGATTTGCATGACATTTAATAAAGCAAAAGATTCAGTTGAATTCTACATCACTTTATAGAATCTTATTTACTAAATTTTGTAAAAGCTGAGATGTAGCAGAAAATTCACAGTTTGTAAGACAGTAAGAGTGTCAATATGCTTTAGAAGAGCTTCTTTCTGCACATCTGTAAAATTTGTGAAATATAGAGAGACAGCTTTACATCTAGAGACTTATATGTCTTTAAAGCAACACATCAATGTAGTTACATTGATTTTGTACTTTTTGACAGTTTTGGCATCATTAGAAGTCTTCTGCAAGCACAGATCTTCAATCATCAATTTAATAGCAGCTTTGTTGATCATTTTATTAAATTTTAAAAGTAGAGATCTACAGTAGAAAAATCAGTTGCTTTGTGAGTTAGATTGTTTGGTGATGAATTGCATTAATGATAAAAGTCATTAAAACTGAATATCATACATAATAGTTAATTCATTTTAAAATGAATTTGATGGTAATATTACACTAAATAATACTATATTGTAAATTATAAATCTATGATTTTAATATATTATTTTTCTCTTAATTGATTATAAACCAATTATTAAAACCAGAATTTTGTGATTGAAATTTAAAAATTAAAAAATTAATAGAGAATTAGCTCTGAATTAGACTGACTGCTAAAACTGAAATTTTCTGACTGAGATTCTATTCCTAACAAATTTCACAGAAAATTGAAATGGGACTGAAACTTAATGATTCAAATGGAAAAGTACTGAAACATAAATTCAATATACTGAGATGGAAATAAAATCTGATACAAAAGAGATTGAAACTGTTCAATTAAAGATAGAGATTTGAGATCTCTAGAAACTTAAAAATAAAATTGTATTTTATACTATTTATAGTATCAAAATCACATATAAATGTTGGACTGACTGTGGAAATATCTATAGAGATTTTTCAAAAACTAAGATTAGAAAACAGTATAGTTCAGTTTGTTCCATTTTCCTCTTAAAATTTGATAATAAGTTATAATTCCATCTCAAAATACTGATAAAAGTCTCATTTCCATTTCAGTTTTAAATTTTAAGTTTCAAATCTCTTTTAGAGAATTTTCAAACTCTGAAATAATTTTTATTTTTTTTCAAACTTTATTTTGAAAGTGTATTTTTACATTAAAATATGACAAAATAGAAGAATTGTCACATTAAGTCAAGATGTATATATACATTTACATGTGATTTTGATACTAAAAATGGTATAAAATAAGATTATATTTTGATTTCTGGAGATCTGAAATCCCTGTTTTTAATTGAATGGTTTCAAATTTCAATCAATTTGTATTAAGTTTCATAATTTCATTCTAATTTCAGTACTTTAAAGTTTAAACTCAAGTTCCAGTACTTCTCAGTTTGAATCATCAAGTTTCAGTTTCATTTCAATTGTCTATAAAATTTGTTGGAAATAGAATTTCTGTCAGAAAATTTCAGTTTCAGTGATCAGTTTAATAAATGTATACATGCATTTTAACTTAATGTGACAATTTTTCTATTTTGTCATATTTTAATGTAAAAATACACTTTCAAAATAAAGTTTGAAAAAAAATTAAAATTATTTCAGAATCTGAGAATTTTCTGAAGAAAATCTGAAACTTAAACATTTGAAACTGAAAAGAGAATGGAACTTTTTTCAGTATTTTGAAAGAGAAATGAATCAAACTGATTTGTACTGTTCTCTGATCTTAGTTGCTGAGAGATGGCTATAGAGATCTCTGTAATCAGTCTAGTGACAATATATTTAGAGATTTTGAATACTGTTGTAGTAATATAAATTACTTCTTTCTTTAATAACTTAGACTTCTTCATAACTATCTTTTACTGAATCTAATCTCATTTATGAAATTCTGATTATTAATGAATCATTTATGAGAGTCAGAAAGTTGTAGATAATGTGACAATGATTTATAATCTTTATAAGTGAAAATGATTTAGTGTAAAATAGTTACAAAGAGATCTAAGTGAGAGTGAGAGACAGATAACTCATATTGCTATAACAGTATTTAAAGTTTTTAGATATGTTGTCACTGATCTTCACAAAAAAGTGTCTGTGACAGATTTTGTGTATTTCACAATACTAGTGAGATTATGTGATCAGTTATAAAGTCTATAAACTCTGAGTGACTAAAAGTCTCATCATTTAAGCATTAAGAAGATTTTATAAATTTCTTTTGAATGATGAACTGAATGTAAAGTGATCAGAGCACAGAATCTTATGAATTTTCTTCTCTTCACAAATATTGATCTTTAAGATGTGAATGTGATTAAGATTACAGTCAGAGTGACAGCTTCTCTGTGATTGTAATGTAGTTGCTGTAGTGACTATCATTTTTCATAATTCATCTAGTGATACTCAGCAATTTCTTAAATATAAATATTTTTTACTAAACTCTCTCTCTTTCTCTCTCTCTTTCTCTTTCTTTTTAATAACAATTTTCTTCATTTTAAGAAGAGTTTCTGAACAAGCATTTCATCTCTGATAATTATGAATATTAAGAAACTTTGTAAACAGCTTTGCTCAATGCTAGACTCATCATTGGAATCTCTTTGGAATTCCAAAGAGACAAGACTGAATGTCAATTTCAATTGAGTTGATCCCAATTTCTTTCCAAAATTTGAAAATTAGTTCCAATCTCACTTCAAAATATGAAAACAAGTCTCATTTTCTTCCCAGTTTCAAATTCCCATTCCTAGATTTCCCTATCTCTAAAACAACTTTAATTTTTTTTCAAACTTTATTTTGAAAGTGTATTTTTACACCAAAATATGACAAAATAGAAAAATTGGCACATCAAGTCAAAATGCATGTATACATTTGTATATGATTTTGATACTAAAAATAGTATAAAATAAGATTTTATTTTAAGTTTAGAGAAATTGAGGATCTCTATCTCTAATTAAATAATCTCAATCTCTTTAAATTAAGTCCCATTTCCATTTCAGTACTTGAAATTCAAGTCCCAGTCCCATCTCAGTTTGAACTATTAAGTTCCAGTCCCATCCCAGTTTCCCATTAGTGCATTAGAGATGGAATTCCAGTTGGGAAATTCCTGTCCCTGCAGTCAGCCTACTCAATGCTAACATTTTATATAGAAAGATATTCTTTATTATGTCTCTCTTTTATTCTTCAAAATGTCAAAATGAAAGCAGCAATGACTCAATAAATTTGAGAGTAAAATGTCAATCAGCTGCTGATCAAGATCTTTTTTAGATACAATAAAAGATGTGCTTCTGAAATTTTTCTTGTCAGCTCTCTCAGTGTCAGAATTTTCATTCACTGTTATTTTCTCTGCTCAGAGTGAAGAGACTTCATTAACATCAGTATTAGTTTACTATTGAGAGAGTTATATTTCTGAGAATTTTGAAATCTCTTCACAGTTATTGCACTCTAGTGAATCTGATTCTGACTATAATGATATAAGTGATATTTTTTTCTTTCTTTCTCTCATAATGCTTTGTAAATGTGTGAGACTGTGAGCAAGTCAATGTGCAGTAGAAGCTCATATCACAAAAGCTTAGTTTGTGAAATATACTTACTAATAACTATATAAATATATATAAATATATAAGTATATAGTTATATATAGAATTTTGGTGAATGAGTAGAGTGAGAAGAGTGATAATAGAGTTCAGAAAATAATAGTACAGAACAAATAGTCAATAAATATTCAAAAAAGTTCTTGAACTGTTCTGTTAATTACATTTTGCAGTGAGAGCTTTGATCTTATTTATATACTATAAGTTTAGAGTTTAAGTTATGTAAGTTATGACATATTTGTCTTGATTTATAAGTGTTACATCATGTGTGATGTAATGTATGATGCAGTATGATGCAGTATATTAGACAATACTTGCAATAGTTTTGTAAAAAGTAGTTATACTTTCTAGAAAACTGAATTATTATATGAGACATTTTATAAATTTTGGTTTCAATGTCTGATACTTTCTATAAACTGAAAGATCTATAATGTAGATGTATAGAATGTTGATATAACTGATTATAAAACTTATTAAAGTTGAATATTATGTGCAATAGTTTATTAATCTTGAAAATAAACTATGCAACATTGAATTTTTTGATGTAATTTGCCATCTCAATTTGTTATTCTTTTCTTGATTAATAATTTATACAAGCAATACTATGGTAATAATCTTATTGCTGTAACTCTATTAGAAAATAAAGTTTGAAACAAACTTTTATAGAATAAGATTTGAACTAATTTCAAAAGAGTTATAGATCAAACTTCATATTTAATCAAGATTTATGCATATGACTCTGTAAATGTTATAAAAGTTATACATGTTATACACATGTTATATAAGACAATATATAGTATATAAATTTGATTATAAGAACAGCCTACAGTAACTCATATCATATCAAGTTCTTGAAATCAGAAATTCAATGTTGAAATTACCAGCTCAAATCACAAATCCCAAATTTTTATGGGAATTCCAGAGTTCCTCCTGGCTCAGATGTTGCGGAGGTTGGGTTCAGCAAAATCTCCCCAATGGGTTAGTTTGAAAGACTAGTTTGGCACTAGAGAACCTACCAAAGCACTTCTGAGGGGATGGTAAACTCCGTAGGTACTCCGCAAAGCTCCTCTTCAACATCCGCAGGTCTGAGGTTATGAGTATCAGCTACTAGAAACACTGGAACGGTGAACGAAGTGGTGAAGCGGCACTAGGATATCGACAGTGGATAGTCATTTAAAACCAAAACTTCACTTCCTATGTTAAAACCGACCCTGAGTGACCTTCCTGATGAAATCATCCAGTGCATTCTTATCTGGGTTATTCCTGTATCAACTGCTGCTTTCGGCCAAACGTCTCGAAGATTTCAATTTATATCTAATACTCCGTCACTTTGGCGGCTGTACTGCGTCCAGCATTTTAAATACTGGGATCAGCGCCACCGAATCTGGGAGAAATTTCGCTCTCCAGCTTCTATGGTGGATTGGAAAGAACTTTACTCAACACGACATCTCACTGACCTTACTGTTACGGAAATTTTAGAGAGCATTCTTGCCTGTCAAACCGGACGCATAGAAAAATTTAATAGGATCATCTATTTCGGATATGATGCCAAAGACACTCTTTTACGACATTCCGCAGCTGCTGTAAACAGCGAGGACTTTTTGGCTCGACGGTGCGTTTACACTGGTTTTTCTTTTTTCATATGATGGGGATGCTAACTGGTTTCAAGCTATTATAGTAATGCTATCCTGGGCTGCCTTCATCGAACAATAGCAATTCGGCAATGGAATGACCTGAGAATCGGAAAACATGTTTCACTCGAGTGTGCCCTTGGTGCTTTTGATATGTTTGTGCTTAAAACAAGCAGAGGGGATTTAGACGACGTATGCAATGATATACTTGATTTTCGTTCTGGTACTGATTTTTCAAGATATCTCAAAAGCTAGGTGAAATTGTTTCCTTGATCCTTACCGAATGCCCTTCCATTGTTGATTTCAGTCCACGGGAGAGGGCCCTTCGCATCGCACAATATTTAAGAGAGAATAACTTGACTGGAATTGACCCTGGATCGGACTTTTACAACCTAGAACATAATTTCCTTGGACTTGCCCTGCGCGACGAGCGGCATAATTCAGTGCCTCTTATTTCTGCCGCTATCTACTGCTATGTTGCAAGGAAATTTGACTTGAATGCGCAGCTTTGTGGGTTCCCTTTCCATGTTCATGTTTTAATAGAACCGGAATACGGATATGATATGGATGGCTGGCGTGTGGAAGGTGGAACACAAGGTCCCCCGATGTACATGGACCCTTTCCGGTCTGTTCGGGAGACGCCCGTATCTGAGCTGCAGAGCCAGTTGAATTTCTTGGGAACGCTAAGCCTATCTCAATCTACATTCCTTCGTGAATCATTAACCGGGGAAATAGTTCTGCGCTGCGGAAAAAATATCCTTAACGCCATCAAACAGTCAACAATGTCCACTGTCGTTTTGTTGGATATTACTAGTGCTGCATACGCAGCAATTTGGTCGTCAATACTCTGTGCAAATTACTCGGCACTAGAAAATTCCCCCCAAGAACTAGGGTCACGAGTTCCGATCGTTCAATTCCGGCGCTATCTTCCATCCTTACTGGAGTATTTCGCTACCAATTTTCCGTTTGATGTATACCTCGTGGAGCAGTACTTAGTTCCTCTTTTTTACGGTTTCCCTGAATATGATCATCTTAAGGAAAGCGTATACGTCATGAAAGCGGGGGACCAGATCCCTAAACAAATTAAACGACGAACGGCGGAATATTCCAATGTCAAGTATCGGGTAGGCCAAGTATTTCGCCATCGACGGTATGGATATGTCGCTGTTATTGCAGGTTGGGACCCTGAGTGTGGGGCCGCTGAGCATTGGATGCAGCAAATGGGTATTGATCGGCTCCGGGCTGGGAGGTATCAGAGTTTCTATCATATATTGTATGGACCTCTAACTTCGAATTAATACGCGAATACTGGCCGATACTAATAATATTAAAGGGTCGAGGATGCAAGCGTACGATACGTTGCCGAAGAAAATATACTGCCAATCCAGCCGCAGATCTCGGAGATCCCTCGATCGTTTTTGGAATTTTTAGGAAAACATTTTAAACGCTGGGATTCGATTGCGCATTGCTTTGTGAGTAATATACGGGACGAATACCCGGATGATTAGTCCCTGTGTAGCGCTTGCTTGACCGAAACTCGTGTTGCCATTAACTGAGTTGTTCTCGCTCACATTCACACCACCCGGCATTTTCCAGCTCGAGCCGTCGAAGAAGTGGAGCCTCTAGCACGCTCATTGCATCTTCTAGTAGCTCCAGGATGTGGCCTTCAAGTTCAAATAGGGAAACCCGGCACAAAGCCGCCTTAGATTTTCGACGGAGACGTCTCTTTCCAAATGAAGTGAAGAGGATCTTGCGGTATCCCGAAGGTGGATCCATGCCTTTTGCTGGGCCGCTATCCCAAGTGTTTTGAGCGGATTTCGATCGGGTAGCCAGTCCCACGCGAACCCTTCAGCAAGCTTATCTACTTTGGTCTCTCCAAGAATAAGTACCTGCTCTACTGCAGAATGAAGCATCAAATGGACAGCATTCTTCATCCATTCTGGTTGGATTTCCTGAGGGAGCATGTGGCCAAGAGATATATATTCGGGAATTACATCTAGCAGGGACACCTGGTATTCTAGACATAGAGTACTGTTACGTGGTAAACCCAAATGCAACATCATGTCTTGGCGGTTCTTAGAAAGCCTGTGGCCATTTTGAGGTATATGAAAGGCATCGCCTTCTGACCACGTCTGTAAGCTGTTATAATAATACCATGACCGGGCACAATTTGCATTTCGTTGTCGTTGCTCGGAAAGTGTTTGGTGGGAAGGAAGATACACAGATGGCGAGTACCGTCGTAGAAAAAGATTTGAAAAAGTCAAGATTTGAAGTTTTATTTGCAGATCATTTGGTAATGACTGCCCTTCGTATTTTCCTTTGAATAGGGAGAAAAAAACTAAAAATAGGTGTCATGTTCATGTCTAATAGTTCTAGGCAATATTTAATTGAAGAAAAGTAACATGCGTACTGACCATCAAAAACGAATAGGAGACTTTCAGAGAGTGTTGTATTTCCTTTCTGGGTTCTTTGAGTAGTACGGTCACTAAGTATTGCTTTAATTACAATACAAACAAATCAAGTAATCGAGAATCATGAGCTCAGTCTCTGCTCGTATCTTGGATCTGGCATAGGTTTTCAGTTTTCATGGACGATGCCATTGGCATTTGTGATGCTGTGAGCTACGAACTAAAGGGCCTTGTGCTTGGCATAGTTAGCCACTTTTCTTGGCTCACTAGAGACCATTTGCCTCATACATAGTCATACTCTCAGACCTCCCCACTTTGAAGTTTGCTGATCGGATATTGAGCTTAATGATATTTTGAATTTAAAATTGTTTATTAAAACAGTTACACACTGTCTTTCTTCACCTTAATTTGCAGAAATTTTTAATTCAAGCATTAGTACATGACTTTGCATTTAGTCAGCAGTTAAAGCTTAGCATACTGTAATATGAAAAATTTCTTGCTGTGTTGTCTGAAAAGACAGATAGTACTAAAGTAACATACTAATATCTAAATGTAGTTGTTCACAGTCATGATAGAGTGATTAGTCACTACAGTTAACATCTTAAAATGATGTGGTCAATTTCCACTTTCAGTAGCTTCTTACTTTATTATCTTGGTTGTAAAAAAGATTTACTAGTGACTAGAATGCTGTAAGTCAGAATTTAATTAGCACACTTTTATAAGGTGGCAGCCTATAAGATAGGTGCTAGAGGACAATGTATCAAGTCTACAGTGTAAGAAAGGTAACTAAGTTGCACTTATAGTATCAAAGTAGTATTGCTATATGCACAGTAAGAGAAGAACTCATTGCTGACCTTCTGTGGGAGAAGATCAGTGTGGCTTTAAGTACTTAGTGAGATTAGGGCTACACTAACTAATAAGATACTAGCTCTTAGAGCAGATCTAGTCTACAGTGGGCATGACAATTGCCCCTCTTTCTTGTAGGCATCATTCTTGAGACTCTAAAATGTAGCATAGTGATATAATTTAACATCAGATTGTGCTATTGATGTTCTAATTTTGAAATATTAAAGCATATGGTTAATAATTTGCAATAGTGTTGAATGTTGATGTGAGTGAAGTCCACAGTGTTGTGATGTTGAGATGCAGTGTTGATGTTTTGTTGCACTGATGTTAATCAGATGTTGATGTTTTGTTGCATCAATGCTGATTGAATAATTAGTGATGCCACACCACCAGTGTTAGCACAAACATTAGTGTGATTGGTGATTGTGTAGTCATCAGTGTTAGTGTGGTGCTAACACTTAGTGAATATCAATAACATCAGCACACAAGCTTTTTCTTCTTCTTTCTTCACTTAAGCATTGCTGCATCATTATCACTGTCATGTCTCATCACTTCTCTCACTGCACTGCCTTGCCACTCATCATTCTTTATGTTGTGTGAGTACTGAATTGATCTGTTCACATCACTTTGACATTTTTGTTGATGCTAAGTGGTGTGACAGAGGTTTTGCTTTTGCACATTGTGAGTTATTGATTCACAACATTATTGCACAGTAGCATTTGCTACTGTTATTTTGATTTTGCTAACAGCTCTTGACTTGTCTATGCTATTTGCTGTTAGCATTAATCTTTTGCAATATATCTGCTTTTGCTTTTGTTTATGTCCTTCACAGTGTTTTTGGTGTCTTGGTTTTTGGACTTGTGTGGACATTTACTAATTAATTTTGGTGTAGTTGCACTTCATGCTCCTGCTGTCTCTCTCTGCTCATCAACTCCAATAACTCATGTGTTGTTATGTCTGGACACTGCTGTTGTGAAGTGTGCTGAGAAGTGCATCACTCATGTACTTCAGTAAGAACTCTATATCTTTTGCATGTGTGAAGATTTTTGATGATTGTCTGTTGATGTGTTTTCAGCACTAAATTGTGCTGACACTCTAAAATTTGTCAAGTTTCATGCACTTCTGATGTCTAGATTGTTCCATTTCTTACTAACACAGACTTTAGATTGTCAGTTTGGGAAGTGAGCTCTGATGAATCTCTAATTTATGGAATCTGATCTATCATGCTGATAGATTGGGCATGATCATCTTCACTAAATGTTCAGATCTTCAGTGTGAGGTGCAATGTCTGACTGCTTCTGCCACAAGACAGCACAGTGAGTGTGCACATGCAGCTGTCTTGATTGACATTGAAAGATGTTGAGTCTGCAAAGCTGCTGTCACAGTCAATATCAGACATGAGACTGCCATCTGTGAATGAATTCTGTCAGCAGCAAGAGCTCACATGTCTGTGTTATCTCTGTCTGTGGCCACCTCTGGTGCCTCTCTGCATTTGCAGGGGGATAGAGCCAGAGAAGAGAGAAGAGAGAAAGAGCAGATTGAGTTGGCACAGACATATTTGAAATGTTGTCTCACTCATTGTGCTCACTGTCTTGTTCATTAAGCTGCTCATGCTGTTGCTGTTCATCATGCTGTCTGTCATGCTGCTCACATCACTGTCTGTGATGAGCAGAAGATCCCCAACTCTCAGAAAGATTGAGCTTTGACTCAAAAAAGAGTTGTTTTTTTGTGCACTTTGGTGCTTTTTTCCTATATCTAGTTTCTTAAGTCCACATAGTGGTCATCTTTGAGTGTTTAATCAATAAAGAAGTCTTCCATTACACTTCTTTTTCTTTTCTTCATTAAATAACAAGAACAAAAGTCTTTGAAAGTTCTGTTTTTTATATTTCTTACACAACATGGAGTGCTTTCTTGCATTTTTTGCAGCAATTATGCTGTTTTTCTTCTCCATTGGTGCTTTTTTGGATGTTCTTCTTCAGATGTTTCTTATTGTTTAAAGAAGTCTAGTGCTTCTGTATTCTGGACATATTCTTCTGATTCTCAGATGTCATTTTCTGGTCCCCATTCTTTTCAATGAACTAGGTATTCAATTTTGTTTTTGTGTATCTGTTTGTCCAGAATATCTTCTACTTAATATTCTTCATGACCATCCATCAGTTCTGGATCTGGTGGTGGTAATTTATTTTCCCTTTTATTGTATTTCTCTAGCATGAAAATATGAAATACTGGGTGAATACTTCTAAATGAGAGTGGTAATTGGAGCTTATAGAATTGTTTCCTCCATTTTTCAATGATTTCAAATGATCCTATATACTTATGGTCCAGTTTTCAGGCTGGACAAAGCATGCTTAAGTTTTTTGCATTGAGGAGTACCCATTCTTCTACATTGAATACTTGTGGTATGTGCTTTGAATCATAATACTTTTTCTGCACTTCACAGACAACATGAAGTGTTTTTTCAAGATGGTTGCACATCTTTTGCAATGACTCTGCCCTTTCCATGGCTTTTGAAGCCATGTGTTTCAATGATTTATCCACATTTATATGTAACTCTGGTCTATATTTCATTAATGCAACTGCTGGTATTTCTTCTGTTGAGCTATGCTTCAATTGATTGTATGTGTGTTGAGCCATAGGTAGCCATTGCACCCAATCATCTTGGTGGTAATTAATAAACCCTCATAAGTAATGTTCCAGAGTTTGATTTTGTCTTTCTGTTTGACCATCTGTTTGAGGATGGTAAGCAGTGCTTAATCTTCATTTTGCACCAAAGTAGAAGCATAGGGTTGACCAATAATTGCTTGTAAATAGAGATCCTCTATCAGAAATCAGATTCTTGGATGTATCATAGATAGTAAAGATGCACTCATAGCATAGTTCTGCTAAGTCTTCTGTGTCAATGTCTTTTCTACATGGTAGATATAGGGTGAATTTCATATAGATGTTCACTATTACTAGAATGGCATCAAAGATATTGTCTCTTCAATTGAAGGAGAGTAACTCTGTGATGAAGTCCATTGAGATTAACTCCATAAATTGTGAAGGCATTGGAATAGTTCCTAATTCTCCATGTGTTTTATGTCTTCTGGGTTTGATTCTCTGGCAGATATCACATGTCTTGACATAATCCACTACATTCTTAGTAAGTCCATGCCAATAGTACTTATCTTAAATGGCTTCAATGATACATTTCATTCCAAAGTGACCCTCCTGTGGGTCATCATGATTTGAGTGTATAATCTCATTGATTAATGCTGGCTGGCTAGATACATATGCCCTATTATTTGCCCATAGCACATTGTCTTTGGAAATTGTCCATGTTACACCTCCAGCCATGAAGACATCTTTCTTCTCCATCTCCCTTCTTTGAGTGGACACAAATGTGTCCAGCCCTTGGAGCTGCAGCAATAGAGAGGTTAAGAATTCAGGCATTTCAGTGTAGACTGTTTCAGACTTCATGACAGCATTAATCATGAGTCTTGACACAAGAATTGGTTCTCTAACATCTTCCAGCAGTGTTATTGTCTGTATTGAGCACAACACAAGAGAAGAATTTGCACCAACATCTGTGTTTTTATTTGTTTCTTGTGCTTTTAGCATTCAATCATGCACTCTGATGCAGTTTACTATAGAAGCCAACTGTTTGTTGTTCTCTAGATTCCATTCTAGTTGAACACCATGCCTGATCTTCTGTTGCAGAGTAGGTAGAAGAGTCTCACCATGATAGGCATCTTTGTAATCTGATCAACAACTTGGTGCATCTGCTGGATTTAATTTACCCAGATGGTGCAGTAATATGAAGTCAT